ATATTCACTCAATCTATTTTGAATGTTACACATACAATATTAATATAGTCTAAGCACGTGTACCACATGTAGCCCGTGTATTTACCACAGACTGTAAGTATTAAAGTAATGAGGCCCCTGCTTTAGGCCTCTGCTGTGAGGCCCACACCGTCATCAGTCTCGGTGCCTCTAGATCACACGTCTGTCCTCGGGCTGGAGTGTTCTGAGGCTTTAAGCGGGGAGTCAGGAAGGAGCGATCCTGTTTGTCAGCATGATTTTTTTGTTTAACAGCCTCCCTGCGCGATTGCAAATGTACTCAAGGGACTCCCATACCGTGGCTCACATATATTATATTATATAGGGATCAGGAGCTTTCTGACCCGACCCACCCGCACCTGACATGACTCATATTTTTGAGGCATCCAACCCGCCCGAAACCGCGGGACCCGCGGGTTGACTGCGGGTTTCGGGCCGACCCGCGCACCTCGCATGTCCTGTTCAGGGCTGCAGGAGCAATTGTCCATTATTTTAATTGGACTTCTGGTCCATGCACACTGTAAAAAAGATAAAGTTAGTTCAACTCAAAATTTCAAAGCAACCAGCTGCGAAGGATTTTTGAGTTGAAGGCATTAACTTAATTCTTCAAGTTTTGAAGAACTACACTTATTAAGTTGTGTCAGTTAAGTTTTCCAAGTTCTGCCAACTAAGTGTTTAAATTCAAGTTACTGGAAATTTCAAGTCTGTAAAAACTTACTTTAAGTTCAGATTACTGTCGCGAGCAGAGAGAGAGAGAGAGAGGTGAGCAGAGAGAGAGAGACGCGAGCAGAGAGAGAGAGACGCGAGCAGAGAGAGAGAGAGGTGAGCAGAGAGAGAGAGACGTGAGCAGAGAGAGAGAGACGTGAGCAGAGAGAGAGAGGGAGAGGTGAGCAGAGAGAGACGCGAGCAGAGAGAGAGAGAGACGTGAGCAGAGAGAGAGAGACGCGAGCAGAGAGAGAGAGCAGAGAGAGAGAGAGAGAGAGCAGAGAGAGAGAGAGAGAGAGAGCAGAGAGAGAGAGAGAGCAGAGAGAGAGAGACGTGAGCAGAGAGAGAGGTGAGCAGAGAGAGACGTGAGCAGAGAGAGAGAGACGTGAGCAGAGAGAGACGTGAGCAGAGACGTGAGCAGAGAGAGACGCGAGCAGAGAGAGAGAGGCGTGAGCAGAGAGAGAGAGGTGAGCAGAGAGAGACGTGAGCAGAGAGAGAGACGTGAGCAGAGAGAGAGACGCGAGCAGAGAGAGACGCGAGCAGAGAGAGACGCGAGCAGAGAGACGTGAGCAGAAAGAGAGAGACGCGAGCAGAGAGAGAGAGGCGTGAGCAGAGAGAGAGAGAGAGAGAGCTCGGTGAACTGTAAAAACGACAACTCAAAATTGTTCACCTTACAGTTTTGTATGTGATGACCAAAGCGATGAAATGAGGACTACTGGTTTTACAGAAACTATTCAGTCGTGAAAAGTATGTTTCATTCTGATTGACAGGACAGAAGCAAATGTTAATGTTATAAAACAGCAGAGAACTGTATGAAAGTAACTGATACATGTCCAAAAGCATTTGTAAAGTGTTCAAAGGAGAAACTGCCGCGATGATGTTACACACGACTCAATGTTGTGGAGGTTCTACCGTAATGATTTTTTGTATGTTTTTCTACGTAAATACTGTATGTGTACTATTTTTGTTGCAGAATGCTGTAGAATTGCAAAGAGCATAAGCAGTAAATATGTGAACATACAGTACATACATATGTATCACTAAATACAGTCACAATGAAAACATGACTAAATCATTTGACTGTTGTTCATAAACACTGATGTCAGGACACAGACACAGACCGTTTCATTGACATGAAGACTTTCTTTTGAGGAATTAAGTTCATTTTGAGAAAGTGACTTTTTAGCAGGTTATCCATGAGGTTTTGCAGTTTGCACTCATTGTTCTGAGAAATGCACTAACTGTTGTTAAAATGTGAAGAATTATGTGAAAAATGCACCAAAGACACTGAGAAAAACTGATTACAAAATATATACAGCGCATTCTCAGGGTACACAGCACTGCCATGGCATCTCTTCTGCATTGCAGCTCTCCCTCCCCCACACGAATAAACAAAGCCCACCCCAGCCCCCTGCTGTTATAAGTCATTACCTACATTTGCAAATCAATACATGCAAATGTTAGCAGCCAACCTAGCAAGTTAGCTCCCTGTTCTCAAAACAGGGGCCAATTTCGGTTGGGTTTTCTAGTGTTAAGAAGAACAGGTGCGAGAGACGTGAGCAGAGAGAGAGACGTGAGCAGAGAGAGAGAGACGTGAGCAGAGAGAGAGAGACGCGAGCAGAGAGAGAGAGAGAGGTGAGCAGAGAGAGAGAGACGCGAGCAGAGAGAGACGTGAGCAGAGAGAGAGAGACGTGAGCAGAGAGAGAGAGAAAGAGGTGAGCAGAGAGAGACGCGAGCAGAGAGAGAGAGACGCGAGCAGAGAGAGAGACGCGAGCAGAGAGAGAGACGCGAGCAGAGAGAGAGAGACGCGAGCAGAGAGAGAGAGACGCGAGCAGAGAGAGAGACGCGAGCAGAGAGAGAGGCGTGAGCAGAGAGAGAGAGGCGTGAGCAGAGAGAGAGAGGCGTGAGCAGAGAGAGGCGTGAGCAGAGAGAGAGAGAGGTGAGCAGAGAGAGAGAGAGAGAGAGGTGAGCAGAGACGTGAGCAGAGAGAGACGTGAGCAGAGAGAGAGAGACGCGAGCAGAGAGAGAGAGACGTGAGCAGAGAGAGAGGCGTGAGCAGAGAGAGAGAGGCGTGAGCAGAGAGAGAGGTGAGCAGAGAGAGAGGTGAGCAGAGAGAGAGAGAGAGAGGTGAGCAGAGAGAGACGTGAGCAGAGAGAGAGACGCGAGCAGAGAGAGCAGAGAGAGAGAGACGCGAGCAGAGAGAGAGAGAGACGTGAGCAGAGAGAGACGTGAGCAGAGAGAGAGACGCGAGCAGAGAGAGACGTGAGCAGAGAGAGAGAGAGACGTGAGCAGAGAGAGAGAGAGAGAGAGAGGTGAGCAGAGAGAGACGTGAGCAGAGAGAGAGAGACGCGAGCAGAGAGAGAGAGACGTGAGCAGAGAGAGAGAGACGCGAGCAGAGAGAGAGAGAGAGAGAGGTGAGCAGAGAGAGAGACGCGAGCAGAGAGAGACGTGAGCAGAGAGAGAGAGAGAGGTGAGCAGAGAGAGAGAGATGCGAGCAGAGAGAGAGAGACGTGAGCAGAGAGAGAGAGAGAGGTGAGCAGAGAGAGAGAGACGCGAGCAGAGAGACGTGAGCAGAGAGAGAGAGAGAGGTGAGCAGAGAGAGACGTGAGCAGAGAGAGAGAGACGCGAGCAGAGAGAGAGACGCGAGCAGAGAGAGAGAGACGCGAGCAGAGAGAGAGAGAGAGAGAGGTGAGCAGAGAGAGAGACGCGAGCAGAGAGAGACGTGAGCAGAGAGAGAGAGACGTGAGCAGAGAGAGAGACGTGAGCAGAGAGAGAGAGACGTGAGCAGAGAGAGAGAGAGGTGAGCAGAGAGAGAGAGAGATGCGAGCAGAGAGAGAGAGAGAGACGTGAGCAGAGAGAGAGGGACACGAGCAGAGAGAGAGACGCGAGCAGAGAGAGAGAGAGATGCGAGCAGAGAGAGAGAGATGCGAGCAGAGAGAGAGAGATGCGAGCAGAGAGAGAGAGATGCGAGCAGAGAGAGAGAGATGCGAGCAGAGAGAGATATGCGAGCAGAGAGAGAGGCGTGAGCAGAGAGAGAGAGCAGAGAGAGACGTGAGCAGAGAGAGAGAGCAGAGAGAGACGTGAGCAGAGAGAGAGAGACGTGAGCAGAGAGAGAGAGACGTGAGCAGAGAGAGAGAGACGTGAGCAGAGAGAGAGAGACGTGAGCAGAGAGAGAGACGTGAGCAGAGAGAGAGACGTGAGCAGAGAGAGAGAGACGTGAGCAGAGAGAGAGCAGAGAGAGACGTGAGCAGAGAGAGACGTGAGCAGAGAGAGAGAGACGTGAGCAGAGAGAGAGAGCAGAGAGACGTGAGCAGAGAGAGAGAGACGCGAGCAGAGACGTGAGCAGAGAGAGAGAGACGTGAGCAGAGAGAGACGTGAGCAGAGAGAGAGAGACGTGAGCAGAGAGAGAGAGACGTGAGCAGAGAGAGAGAGACGTGAGCAGAGAGAGAGAGACGCGAGCAGAGAGAGAGAGAGAGAGAGAGACGCGAGCAGAGAGACGTGAGCAGAGAGAGAGAGAGAGAGAGATGCGAGCAGAGAGAGAGATGCGAGCAGAGAGAGATGCGAGCAGAGAGAGAGAGACGTGAGCAGAGAGAGAGGGACACGAGCAGAGAGAGAGACGTGAGCAGAGAGAGAGGGACGCGAGCAGAGAGAGGGACGCGAGCAGAGAGAGAGACGCGAGCAGAGAGACGCGAGCAGAGAGAGAGAGACGCGAGCAGAGAGAGAGACGCGAGCAGAGAGAGAGACGCGAGCAGAGAGAGAGAGACGCGAGCAGAGAGAGAGAGACGCGAGCAGAGAGAGAGAGACGCGAGCAGAGAGAGAGAGACGCGAGCAGAGAGAGAGAGACGCGAGCAGAGAGAGAGAGACGCGAGTCCGCGTGTCTATGGTCCGCGCTCGGAGCCCAGACGGCAGTGCGTTCACTGAGCGGAGGATGTAACGTAACGTTCGGTTTATCAAAACATATCACAATATTTAATGTATATGGCTCAAGAATGGAAGGCTGCAGGTGAAAAGTTTGATGATGTTCTCTTCACTGACGAGTCAACTGTGGCACTGGAACGTTTTGCCTTGAAGTGCTGGAGAAAGACCAACTTCAGGGGCATTGCAAAACCAAGAGTGAAGCACCCGGTCAAAATGCATGTTTGGGGTGGAATTTCTCGATGGGGACCTGGTCCGTTGGTCATTTTTGACGGTGAGTGATGAAGTTTTGAAAGCAATGCATGCAAAGTAGGCTATGCTAAATAAATTGTTACAATATGCTAACATATTATTTAAACCCGCAGGTATAATGGATCAACACTTCTACGCGGAAGAAATCATCAAAAAAGCTGCTGGTCCATACTTAAGGGAGCATTTCCGTATGTCTACACATAGATTCTTCCAAGGTAGGCTAACAATCTGTATTCCAAATCTTCAGCATGATTATGACAAAAGCAACGTTGTGATGATTAGGCTACTAATGTTTGTTTGATGATTAAGTTGTCCTCCTAATTTGTCCTGTTTGATTTTTTAAGACAACGATCCAAAACACACAGCAAAAAGTGTCAAAGCCTGCATTGAAAGTGAGGGGATCAACTGGGTACCGACACCGGCAGAGTGAGTTACCGTAGTTATTTTATATATATATATATTCTGGATGAATACATGCTGTATCGGAAAATAGGCTAACAGTGCTGACATGTCCATGTGTTTTTGTTTAAGGTCGCCGGATCTGAACCCCATTGCGTTAGTGTGGGCGTCCATGAAAAGATACATTCGCTGTGAGGCCAAGCCGATGAGCAAGGACGCACTGATCTCCGCAATAGAGTTTTTTTGGCTAAACAAACTCACAACCCAGGTCTGCAATAAATATATAGACCACCTGGACAAAGTCATCGACCAGGTCATAGCCTTGAAGGGAGAGGCAACTGGCATGTGATATCCCCACGGGCCAAGGGATGTCCACGTTAGCCTATATTAGCCTACTATTGTTAGGATTTCTATATCCAGTGTTTTGTCAAGGTGCCAATTGCTAATTTAATAAACATTTCCTCCAATGATAAAACTGAATGGATCTTGTTTGATGAGTATTGTGATGTATTCCATTGATTGCACACTAGCGCACTGAGCCAAAATGCGTCAGCGTCTCTCTCTCGCTCTCTCTCTTATTTACATCACGCCGTGTTTGAAAATGGCATTTATTTTAACCAATACTATTAAAACTTTTGCTCAGCCAAACAGTAAATACCAGAAGAAGACCTCACTAAAAAATCACGAGAGGCAGATCGCTTTCAGAATGTCTTTATTTTCGAATTCGCATAGAATTCTATAGACAATACATAATTATTTTAAATATATACGTTAATGCAATTCGTATTATAAAGATAAAGATTATAAAGAAAGAAATAGCATTCAATAGAAACACATTTACATTCACATGCACGGCCCAGCCGCGGCCAGGGGTAGGCCGGTGCCTACCAGTTTTATTCTTGGCCTTCCCAATTTTCTTCTTCGCCTCTCAAGTCATTAGACTTTTTTGTTTAAAGTCATAATTTCAATATTTTTTATTTTTATACACACATTATTAACTAAATGTTGCGTTCTAATCTTTTTTTAGAAAATATAACCCCCTGAGCGTCATCACGTTCCTATTGCTTCAAATATAGTTCCGTTTATTGGCTGAACAATTTTGTCCAATAAGCTGCATGATCATATCACACAGCGCGAAGCTCGTTCCCCGAGAACAACAGCTATTCCTCCTCTTGAATTTTGACCTCCTCTTCTTTTTCTTTCTCTTTATAATTTACTGAAAATTAGATATGTATTAGACATTGCCAGTATTATTCTATCAAATCACGCAGTCTAAATATCCACAACCACCAAGCATTTTTAATGCAAGGAGAAACTTAGGTAACTTTAAACACAAATAAAACAAATGGACCTGTCCCTCGAGTGTCTATGCTTCGTGTGTCTCTGGATCTGTCCAAGTATGATCCGCGTGTCTCGCGTGTCTCCGCCTGTCTGGGTTCTGTCTGCGTATATGTAAATGTAAATGTCTGTCTGTGGTTCTGTTCGGGTGTCTATGGTCCTGTCTGTGGTTCTGTTCGCGTGTCTATGGTCCTGTCTGTGGTTCTGTTCGCGTGTCTATGGTCCGCGCTCGGAGCCCAGACTGCAGTGCGTTCACTGAGCTGTCAGAGCGGCGGTCACAGCAGCGGAGGATGTAACGTAACGTTCGGTTTATCAAAACATATCACAATATTTAACGTATAACACTAGTGAATTTCACCTTGATTTTTCCAGACATTAAAGACAAGATGTTATATAATAATTGTTTAATGAAAAAACAATTTTGCCACAAGCAACCAAAAGATGTGCCTCAGACAAGAATCGAACCTGGGTTCTCCAGGTCCCAGTCTTTGATGCTATCCATTTGGCCAACATAGCACCTCTGGGCTAGACAGGTTTAGACGCAGTCTTATACCTGAGCGTCTAAGTAGCTGGCAGAGCTAAAGCGGACTTAGCCTGCCACCTTGTGGCGATAAGATGTACTATTTTTCACGCAGCTGCGTGATTCCCGAGAAGCGCGAATGAAGACGACAAAACGGAATGGGACCCACTGTAAAAGAATACTGCTAGTTTCGCATCCGAATTTATTCATTAAAACATTAGAATATATTCGAGTAATTATAATTTTTTATTATACAGCTCCTCACAGCAGCAGTAGAACACTCCATTGACTTGAATGTAATTCTACCGATCATTTTTTCTTTAACAGAACTTTCAAACCAATAATGACCGCTGCCCTTTGACAATGCAATCTGTTTGTAATTCAGGTGTGTAAAATACTGCCATTACTCCGCAAGTACAACGAGAGAAGCTAGCAGAGCTAGCCACGCTCAATAAACAAATACATATCTATCAATCAACACCATTAAACGTCAATCGGACAATACAGTATACATATACATCCTTAACACACATGCACGGACGATTTCAGAATTTGCTGTCAACGTTTTCATGACAAAAACTGTTTTAAAGTGACAAAAAGCGATCGCGAAAAACCCGGAAGTTACCATGAAACAACTAGCTAGCTTAGCTGTTACCTGCCTAATACGTCCAGGTGAAACCTTTGGGAGCTAACTATTTTATTTGCAGTCATTAAATACATTTCGAATTATAAGGGCTGTCTAATATTTGTTTGAATATATATATATATACAGCGAATTATATTCGAATTTTGAAGTCGAAGCCCTGGTGTTAAGCAGCGCTGTAGAGGCTAGAGGACGCAGGCTGCTCGCTGCTCGTTCTGTGAGTGGAGGAGAACGAGCGTCCCGCTAAGACTCCACTCAGAACTTTTCACGGCATAAATTTCATACACAACTGAATCAATGACCAAGTTTTCAATTAAATTATGTATTATGATACAACTTGTATGTAGTAAAAAGCATTTTTATGAACTACTTAGAAAAAAAATCGGGTATCCAACCCAAGTTGGATGGGGAGTGTCGGAGCACAGCCATTTTCAGATTTCTCCTCTGAGATGTTCAATTGGATTCAAGTCTGGGCTTGAATCCATACTGTAGGGAAGTATGGTGTATTGGCTTGGTGATGAGCAGTGCCTGGTTTCCTCCAAACATGACGTCTGGCATTCACGCCAAAGAGTTCAATCTTTGTCTCATCAGACCAGAGAATTTTTTAACTCATGGTCTGAGAGTCCTTCAGGTGCCTTTTGGCAAACTTCAAACTAAGGAGTGGCTTCTGTCCGGCCACTCTACCATACAGGCCTGATTTGTGGATTGCTGCAGAGATGGTTGTCCTTCTGGAAGGTTCTCCTCTCTCTACAGAGGAACGCTGGAGCTCTGACAAAGTGACCATCGGGTTGTTAAGTCACCTCCCTGACTAAGGCCCTTCTCTCCCGATCGCTCAGTTTAGATATCCGGCCAGCTCTAGGAAGAGTCCTGGGGGTTCCAAACTTCTTCCATTTACGGATGATGGAGGGCACTGTGCTCAGACAAGCACTGTCAACTGTGGGACCTTATTAATACAGGTGTGTGCCTTACCAAATCAAGTCAAATCAACTGAATGTACCACAGGTGGACTCCAATGAAGCAGTAGAAGCAGCTCAAGGATGATCCGTGGAAACAGGATGCACCTGAGCTCAATTTTGAGCTTAATGGCAAAGGCTGTGAATACTTATGTATGTGATTTGTTTTTTATTTCTTTTGCTTTTCGGATGCACTGTAATACTGCATGTATACTGAGACAAAGTCTTTGAAGTGTTTGATTCTCTGATCTGTGTTGCCGAATCCACAGCTTCGTGAAGTCCTCCGAGATACCTACTGTTGGGTTTTTAGGAGTATACAAAAATACATTTAATTGAATGGAAAGTTATGTCTATAAAGTTGTAGTGTGGTGAAATGCTTTTAAAAGTCCTTCTTGAGGCGTCTGTCCCCATGAAAGCTGAAGCTGCCGGTGACTGCGATCGTGCTCCCCTGTCCACTGTGGTGGAGCAAATTAGATTAGGGGCCCGCTCCAGGGGCCGGCCGCTCTGTGTGTGGGGCAGGCTCTGATGCATTCATTTGGCTCATAATTGGATTACACCTCATCTTTCCTCCACCCAGATGAGCATTGAAATTGGTCAATAGTTCACCTCTTAATTAATGTTGCCAATTTCTTCAGTCCATACAACCCTATGCCTGTATTCTTAAAAAATATTTCCAAATCGTTGAACTATATATTTCTACTGAAGAATTGATTTTATGTTCTGAAGCCGTATTTAGTGTCATTATCATGTTTTAGGGCCAAACATTATTGATCAGCGGTATTGCTTTAACATTGTTTTAAAAAGCCGTACTGTTACCAGTGATGTGAGATTTCTGGCAGGTCACTGATTTCATCACAATCAAGTCGAGGCAATTTTAATTGTATAGCACAGTTCATACACAAGGCAACTTAAAATGCTTACCTGTTCCGACAACCTGTTCCAGTAGTCTAACCTAATGCATGGATAAAGATCTCTGTCTCTGATCAGATTTACATCCACATCAACATGACAAACGATGTGTACTCACAGTTTGTTGCTGGAGTGGAGTCTGTAACTTGTTCTACACTAGACCTCCTAGAGCCGTCATTTTGACTGCTCCCATTTTAACCAATAGAATTCTTAGAAATTCCCCAAAATATGTTTAGGTTTTTTATAGGGCTGTCCAACGATTGAAATGTTTTAGTTGATTAATCGCATAGTAATGGTGAGTTAACTCACTATTAATCGCATTTTTAACATTCTTTTTTTTTCATTTCATAACCACTCCAATTGAAATTAAATGAGATTATCAAATGTAATGACACATTGTCATTCATGCCAAATGTATTTAAATCGGTTTGATTTTCTCACAAACTTTTACTTTTGGGCACAACCAACATGAGCTGTTAATGAAAGGGAAAACGTACGTACCCCAGCTTTAATTTAGCGAGTAAAGTTGCGTTTCAGGAGGAGACACGGACACTTCCTGAGGCTCCATAGTTTAACTTAAGCGGTGTATTTGCGTTAAATGCGTTAAACGTGTTAATTACATTTTTCATTAATCACATTTAAAAAGAAACGCGTTTGACGCGATAATTTTGACAGCCCTAGTTTTTTACCTTTACTCACTTTAAAGTGCTAAAGCTCATGAATACAACTTGAAATACAGCCAAAACAGTTTTTGAAAGGCTACCAAATGCTAACTGCTGCAAGTAAACTGTGTTGCTATGATAATTATATAACTAACTTGTATATTTCTTTATTGTATGTTTTTAATTGTGAAGAGCTTTGTAATCCTGGTCTGTGAAGGGCGCAATACAAAAACTTTACTTACCTACTTGCTTATAAAAAATGACATGGAAAAAAAACTACATATAGATTTTAGAAAAAGTCACAAAGCTATAAAAAATCCCAAAGGTAAATACGCTGAGGAACTGCACTTCTAAAACTAAAATCCGTCAAATTGATTGCTCTGGGAGTCCAAGTGTACAGTTGTGACCACCTCTGTAAAGACACACCGTTCCAGGGAGACACACTTTCAGATCCTCAGCCCTGCAGTGGAGTATTTTTTAGTATTTTTACCTCTGACTTTGCTGTTTCGATGGATCAAACTGATCGTTATAGAGCAGTGAGGTTGGTGATGTACGTGTATATATCGTTGTTTGGCCACATATGAAGATGTTTCATATCCTCATTGTTTGCTCAAACTAAACACAAAAATATGCAAAAAGCACATTTAAAAGTATGTACAAAGCATATCTAAAAGTATGTTATGGGCCTTGCACTCTGTCAAATATGAGAAAAATATGAAAAAATCTGCTATTTCGAGGTAAAAATATATGAAATAAGGAAAAGTTACATTGAAATAATATGATGGCACAAATCACTTGATGTAGTGACCAAGTCTTATTGTTTTCATTTTATTCTTTTTTCTCTCCATGATCGTAGGAGAGGCCGGGCCACCCCTGACCGCACGTCACTGAATAGAAAGAATACGTGTTTGTAAGAAAGCCTCACATGCCGCTGTAGGCATCAAGCTGCACCACACTGCCCCCGTGTGGTACAGAGCCAAATATGAGCTCACACAGAAGTCTGCATGAACTTTCTTTAGGAAACACTCCTGAGTAAGATGATTGCACCATTTTGACTTGATTAATTACATCCCTTTGTACGAAATGGACTCCTGATGACGAGGGACATTCAGTGATGGGTAGTTAGTCAAAAGTTGCAATTGACAAAAAGTATATTAATTTGAGCATATTTTGACTGCCTTAACACAAGATTTGCCAACGGAACAAGATTTTTTATTTTTTTTTTAAACTTGAATTACGTGTATTTGTCCCATTGGCAAATCTTTTTTTAAGAGTCAGAATGAACTCAAATGAACATAAAAACCACTCGATTCAAGCAATTACTATCCCATATTTTATCATTTTTGCAGTGTAGAACCTGCTTAGACTTTTCATTTAGTTGCTAAAAGATGGCTCTCACAGGTCTCAGTGCAGATGTTTTAACCCTAAAGCAGGATTTGACCAAAAATAAGAAGAAATGACTTCTAGTTTTTAAGGATTTTGTCGAGTCTGCCTGGTCAAGCTTAATTCAAAACAAAAAGCAATTACAGTCGGCAAAGACTTGTGCGGTGGTAGAAACATGTATTACTCTTCGCCAAGTTGTTTGCGTGGACAATCACATGAACTCAGCATGTTGTCAAATAATAATTATAATTTTATCTAAACCAGAGATCGATGAAGGTGAGCTCTGGTTTGGATCAGATTAAAATCTAAAGGGCAAATCCACTAATTAAAAGCCGGGCCTCATTTATTTTTATTTTTACTTTGAATACAACCCTGGGTACTAATATCAGAATTATGGACCCAGCGTTTTCCTGTGGTCTTTAAACATCTGCTATTACCAGATCTGAAGCACCTGATTGGTGCAAACGAGCACACTGGTCTGCCTTAGAATGAGGTCTGAATTCTAACTTTCTGCAGATATTTGCACCAGTGCCAAAATATTGATTTAGCAATATATCCAAATATTTCGTCTCTCGATTGATTCTCAATATGCTAAATTCCAAGTATCAATAATATGTTCTTAACACTGCGAGACGGCCAGCCGATGTGTCCTGTTTATTTCAATGGGAGTTGACCAAATGAACTCTTGCAACATAGCATGAGCTTCCCTGGCCTGTTTATACCTCATTTTAAAACGTATTCTATCAAGAAAAAAGTATTTTCTTTACTTGAGATTAAATAAAGCTCAACTGGACTCATTTTTTACAATTCATTATAAATCATTAGTTCAACATGCCTCAATAATGCAAATAAACAAAAATAACCACAAAAGAGAGATACAAAAAAAATTTAATGGGACAAAAGGTTTGATATTCTTGTATTCCTTCAGTATGTGTGTGTGTGTGTGTTTGCGTGTGGTGCGATGCTGCTCCGAGCTCAGGCTGATGGAATGCGGTGATTTCAGGAGCTGCCAAATGGGACAAGACCGTACCTGTGCCAGGCGTATAGCTCCTGTGTGTGTGTCTTTGTGTGTGTGTGTCTTTGTGTGTGTGACAAAAGCAGGGGAATCCCAAACACCAGCAGATCAATGCAAACATAGTTCTAAACGACATGATCCGTGAGCTAAAACTATAAAGTGGTGTTTACACCATATCAATAATTATGTGTTGTTTCGTACTGTTGCTAAAAGATTGGGAACTTTTTGACATCATATAATGGATTGTATTCTCAAATGGAAAGTAACTAGAGAATAAAATAAACAGATATAGCATGAAAGCAACATCTGTCATTCTTGGAAATAATAAGGAAAAGTCTCAGAATAATGATTTGGTGTTGAAAACCCAATGTCATGTAGATTCTGGGACACCATAGCCTGGTCGTATCATACCATAGTACAAATTACATTTCGTACTAAGGTCTGGAGGTGCGCCATTTAGCTCCGTTAACAGGTGGGAGGGGTTAACTCCTCCTGCAGATTGCAACGATTGGATCTGAGTTTACCGTCACGTATGTAATGTGCCTGAGTGAGTCGTTTGCATTTAGCATTTAACCTAGCCATCTCCTTTGCAGCTAACGGAGCCCGTTAGCGGCAAACATTCCTCTTGCTGCGGCGTCAATTTCTTGATAGAACCAGACCTGTATACTTTCACATTCTTCGTCATTGCCAAACTACAACCTGCCCGTTTGGCACAAACTCTTGATGTCACCCACCTCCCGTGCTCTCTGATTGGTCGAATGGAATCCAACCGATGTAATTGCAAACACAGACCAGACGGTGTCCCTAGCCTCAAATGATGATTGAGGCTAGGGACACCATAAACATATTTTATTGATTATTATATTATAATATTGATGGTAATTTGTCCAGCAGAGATTGCTTTAGAGCCCAGCAGTATAATCGTTATGACATGGCTCCCCACAGAGCACTGTGTCACAGAGGACAGCTGCACACACACTTCCTTTCCGAGTGCTCTGCTTTCTGCCCCCTGCACCGGCCCACTCAGAGCACCGGCCCACTCAGAGCACCGGCCCACTCAGAGCACCGGCCCACTCAGAGCACCGGCCCACTCAGAGCACCGGCCCACTTAGAGCACCGGCCCACACAGAGCACCGGCCCATCCCACACAGAGCACCATGTGCAGCAGGACCAGGAGCAGCAGGTCATCAGAAAGACACCCCCAGATTTTCTGTGGCGTCTCTCTCCCTCTTCCTGCTACAACTTTAAGAAAGTATACGATAACTTTCTTTACTGCAGAATAAACACGGGGGCTGCAATTAACAATTATTTTGAATTTGATTAGTGTGTTGATTGAGTGATTTTTCTTTCACTTGATTGATTAGTTGTTTATATCCTGAAAGTGAGCCATAACACATTTGATCAAAGCCTGAGTGATCCCAGGAGAACGTCTTCATAGACTTGTCACAGAGATAGTCTTCAAAAATGTTTTCTATAGTTGCCAATAAAGTAAATGCGTTTAAAAGGGGTCAAAAGTAACTACAGTAACTTCCGTTTGTGCTGTGGAATGAGAATTATCTAAGTTGATTACTGTCATTTCTTTTAGTTCAGACCAGAGCTCCCCAAAGCAAGGTCTGGGGCTCCCTGGGAGGCTGTCCATATGAGCAGTAATAAGGATTTAATACAAATATGTGTATTACACAAAACTAATGCTTTATACAACTTATTCATTTAATGTATTTGCTTTTTGGATTATTGGATATATTTCCTGTAGAATTTCATACAATTACAATACCATGTTGTAGACAGTTGCATGCAGTTTATACCGATCATTTTCAACTCATTTCCAATTGCACATATGGCAGAGGTTATGTCTTCAAACCAAATAAATATTTGATGTCACGTAGATAAATAAATATCCTACACTAATACACATCATATTGTGTATTAAATAAACAGAAAATGAATGTCACCAAAAAAGAAATCACCAAAATGAGAAAGGTGTTTTGTTTATAGTTCTTCCAGCAGAGGGCGTCAGAGCTGCATCATTCTCTCAGTGCGTGAGCGCATGCGTGTAAGAGCTGCATGTAAATGGTGAAAAGTGTGGGAAGCTGCGGCTGTGATGACAGGAATGCTAACGAGTGGATATTTAGGTCTGGACCTCACTGATCAACAGACTCAGACCTGGCCCTGCAGACTAATTAATCAATTAATCATTTATTTGTATTGCATGATTTGTGTACAAGGAAATTCAAAGTGCTTCAAAAGAGCAATTTAAAAACGCAAATTAAAATGCATTAAAAAGTTAATTAAATATACAATTATTTCATATTTAAACAGCAGCATAAAAGTAAAGGGTTTAAAACAAGGAAATATAAGAAATAATGATTACAAAATAGAATCAGTTGTATGCACAGCAAAAAAGATGAATGTTTTCAGCGCAGTTTGAACATGGTCAGGGCCTGTCCCACGAAGACGTTCCATGTCCTAACTGCACATATCTGAAATACAGCCTCTCCATGACTCCTCCCTCAAACAAGAACCAGGAGGCATGCTCATGAAAGTAACTGGGAATCTATAGTGGTTTTCTCTTAGTGATATCTAAAGTATTTTTTTGGCCAAAAGAAAAACAAAAACTGAAATTCTATGTAATGTAACTGAGATAATGTATTGATCCCCGTTAGAGAAATGCACTTGTCCAGCCACAGAAACACATCCATCCACATAAACACATAGATACATCATTCTAAAAGTTATATGAGTAATAAAGTGCACTTTAGGTCACAGGAGGTGGAACAGCCGCGGGTGTTTGTTGATGAATGCAGTTTGCTTGGTTCCGACCAGTCTGAATGTTTTGTGAAGGTAGAGACACAATAATAATCATAGTTGCAAATTTAACAATATAACAGGGGTCTCCAACCTTTTTCACTGGAGAGCTACTTTCTCAGATCTAAAATGGCAGAACCTTTTCTTTTAAAGATGCTCTGTGTCATTTTTGGACCAGTTTTGTTCCAACTGAAACAGTTTTAAGGGTATTATTGGTGAGAGCTTGTCTTAGATAAGGTACTCTTACTAAAAAGAGTAATTATTTATCATTAAAGTGATAGAGTCTGTAACTCTAAATGAATTACAAATTTTAGGAAATGTGTTAAATCGACCTCCTGGCCTTAAATGTTGATTTAAAATAAGTTTATTAATTCTAATATTACAGGCAAGTCCCGCCTTCCCTTCTCTTAGCTATAGCTCAGAATCCACGGTGCCGTCGAGGTTAACCAACCAAGTGATGCCAAGGGCTGTCAATCATCGGCGCTGATGCTCGCAGCTGCGCGCATGCTCAGTTGTTTGTTTTCGCGGAACCTCCGAATCAAGCCTCCATTAGGCTCTGGAACTACATGAAAACTGAACAAAGAATTCTGAACATCCGCGCTGAGGTACTTATGTATATACTGAACCTATATCCATAATCAGATCCTCTGCAGATGTGTCCTATAATGTGCAATTCATGATAATAGCTTGTTCCGGGTTTGCCGCGATCGCTTTTTTTGTGCATAAAAACATTATTTTTTCATTAAAAAGTTGAAAAATAATTCTGAACCTCCGTGCATGTGTATTAATAATGTATATGTATAATATGTTCTCTGATTAACATTTAAAAGTGTTGCGGAAACGTAGGCGTAGACCAATCAGAAAGGAAGGGGGAGGGAGCTTGCGTCGTTTTTTCTTTTTCAAATCAAGTACCTCTCTGTCTCTCTTTCTGACAAATTCCAGACAATCCATTTAATTACTGTTAGCTCACATTTATAATAATATTTGGCGAATTAAACTTTTAGTAATTTCTAAATCCTTTTGGGAGCTACTTGCAAGAGGGTGGAGAGCTACTGTTATCTTGAGAAACTGTCTTGGTATCCATGTAATCTTTTTTCCTTTCTTTAAAATAAGCCTAATCCATGATCAATAACCCTCAAGGTCTTTTGTAATACAATCTAAAAAAGCTTCTCAATGTTAATTCAGGCATTAGCACCAACTCTTGTTTATTTGCTAAATCAAATCCACTTGGCTTGCCTAAACATATTAGGATCTGTGGTTTAAAGTGACCATTGTCCAATCAAAGTATGAAAGAATCAGCGTCGTCATGGTGATGGAGAAGTGTGTGTGCGCGACAGCGGTGTGAAAGGCTTCCTGTCCTGCCGAGGTGAGCGGAAGTCTTAAACTTCTGCTTTTACTGACCTAGTGCACCTGGCAACTAACACTAACCCACGCACACACACACACACACACACACACACATACACAAGCATACACGCGCGCACATCCACAAGCCTACACGCACACACACAAACACGCTGTCGTGGAAATCCTCAGCCCAGAGTAATTGGCAATTTCCGAAAGGCCCTCCTTGCTTCTTTATCGCCTGGCGCACTTAGCACTCCTGAGGAATTTCCTGGAGTGTTTCACCTGCACCAGTCTGCGGGACGGGGACGAGGACTCAGTGGGGACGAGGACTCAGTGGGGACGAGGACTCAGTGGGGACGAGGACTGGGGACGAGGACTCAGTGGGGACGAGGACTCGGTGGGGACGAGGACTGGGTGGGGACGAGGACTGGGTGGGGACGAGGACTGAGTGGGGACGAGGACTGAGTGGGGACGAGGACTGAGTGGGGACGAGGACTGAGTGGGGACGAGGACTGAGTGGGGACGAGGACTGAGTGGGGACGAGGACTGAGTGGGGACGAGGACGAGGACCGGGGACGAGGACGAGGACCGGGGACGAGGACGAGGACCGGGGACGAGGACTGGTACCAAAGTGCATTGCCATCAATGCATCGTCCAAACGGCGAGAAACGACTCGAGGCAGTGTTGAGGGTTTAGGGCCCTTTAATTTATTTAACTGAAGAATGTTTTCTGGTTACTTTAAGAATTATCATGCCACCAATAACGTCAATAATTGAAATGCACTAGTCTCTCTGTCCATGTCCAATAGTATGGCTACCAGTTACATAAATAAAAAAATAAAAATAAAATATCTTTAATTTTAATATGCTAAACAACCAGGGATGAAATCTCTAACTTTAGCATAACAGCAGTTGTGCTAAAGTTATACAAATAAAATAAAATAGTAAGTACGTGGCAGCCGGCAACCGTTTACTAGACCTATTCTAGTAAACGGTCTATTTTTTTTTTTTTTTTTTTTTAAGAGATTAATGACTCCCAAGATTTTTGACTCCCAACAGATATACAATTACTGCAGAAAACATTTAGATTACGATAAAATTTGTATTAGAATAAATCAATTTTGTTAACTTTGTTTTTACCCTACTCTAGAGATATATTGTAGCCTCAAAAAGAGCTGGGTAGAGATGCTCTCAGTAACTTATTAGAAAAAACGTATTTCTGGAATAACTAACTTTGAAAGCATGAAAATGTAACTATGTAATTATATCTATGAGAGACTAGGTTCTCGCTCAGCCCAGAGCATCAAATGCAGGGCTCTTTCTTACAAGTATGCACAACATGTTTGCATAATATTCTCTATTTAAACAAAACAGCAACAGTTGTGGTTTAATTTGTTCACAAACTTTACTCGTGCTGTTGGGATAAATTAATTTATGAGGAAAAACGTTTGTACCCCAGCTTTAAAACTATGGCCTTCTATCTTATGACTGTGTCTGCCTGTGAATAGTCCTGATTTTTTTTCCAGGATTGGGACCAATATCAACACCAGTATCATTATTGGTGCATCCCTACTTCAGGTTGAGAAGCATCTGTTACGTTTTAATTTTCCAATGCAAAATGTCAAATCTAATTGCCACTTCCTCCTTTGCAAAACATAAATAAAGTCTAAAATAATTGGATTTGAAATGGGGTGAAGAGAGAACCAGTCTCTCCCAGGACAGGCCCGGAGTGTCTGGTGGGCTGTGAAACACGTGTGGGAACTTTGCTGCCTGTTTTTCACTGCGAGGTGTCAACACATAAAAGTCCAGAACCCTCAGACGCACGGAGTTGAAAGAGGTTCCCAAAAATGAGGTGAAAATTGTTCCTTTAAATGAATGCACTTGTTGAAGCTAATCCCGGACATTTGTGAACATTTACACACGCTCAGGCTACGTTTTTGATCCTTGGCATTAGTCTTTCTATTCCAACCGTTTCAAACCAAATGTTCTTGTTGCATAAAGCTGGGGTACCTAATATCTAACAACTAATGACTAACTAATGTCATCAAATCCATTAAATTAGTCCCCAGCTCTCAAAAATAGTTTGGTCTCATCTTTAGATCAGTTCTCAGACAGAACAGTGACAAACAATATCATATTGAGGATTTCCCAGTTTTCTGTTCACCTTGTCAATTTAAAATCTATGTTCTTCCAGTTAGTTTAGCAAAATATAAATGGCAAATATTGTGCAGTGTTTGAGTTAATTTTAAACATGATCTGAAATATGAAACACTTTGGCTTCACTTTGGGTTTTTTTGGGCAAAACTATAATTTATAAAACCACAAATTCCACATTCCTCACACAGCACTGGGAGTCTGTTGTAGCGTGTGAACACTTGGTGGCACTGGTGCTTCACCAGAGGCTTTGAAGAAGTCTGCACACTTGGCTTCCAGCTGTGGAAGTGCTTTGACTCTGACACACACGCACGCACACACACACACACACAGTGAGGATGGTTCGCTATTTTTCACTTCTGTCTGAAAAAGCTGATCTAATGACGTGACAAATGCCAGAAATGCATGATGTGGAAGATTTTACTATTTAGTTCCATTGTTTGTGGTTTGAAATATAGGTCCCTCAGCTTTAGTAAACATACATGTCCATGTCCAGGGCAGGACCAGGTCCAAAGCTGAATATGATATAGATGTTGTAGTTATAAGAACATGATGTATATATGTTTATATAGTGCTTTAGTTTTTAAACACTTGTTTCTCATAGCATTGTTGATTAACTACTACTGTAGCCACAGCTGCCCTGGGGCACACTGACAGAAGCAAGGCAACCAGTATGTGTCATCGGCCACTCCGACACCACCAGCCATTCACACAAACACCCACAAGCCCCGTGATCCAAGATGGCGGCGTATTCAAATTAATGGTTTGTGCTCAGTGGCGCATGGTGCCGGCACGGGCGCCGAAAGATTAGCGGAAGTTGCAAAGATCAAGGGGAACTCGCCTGTATTTGGGCATCGTCTGGTCCTCTCGGTTCTGCGCAGTGGATGAACTCCCATGATGCGTTGCGCCAAATACGCATGTGTGGCTGTCACGCACGCGCACAGAGGGGCTCGGCCGCGCTCTGACCAATCAGAGCTGCTGATCAAAGCGGGAGTTAGCGCGGTAGCCAGACGAGCAGAGTTTTGTGGCACTAAAGTGTGGATTTAAAGAAAACCAAAGGATTTAGGAAGAAAAAAAGTTCAGGATGACAAGGTACACTAAAATCTCAACAAAATCTGACCTTTATTAAAGCTGTAAGTTCTCTGTCAGCTGAGGTCAAGCTGTTTTAGTTTACATTGAGTTCTATGGGGAAAATTTCTGGGTAGCCCACGTGAATTTAGTCTGGTCTAGTCTGCAGTACCGCGAGAATCCCCCGAGCACATGAGTTATTCCGCTACAAACTAGTAATACCCTATCCAGTTATTATAATAGATCCATTTAGCAGTGTGATTATGAGACAATTATGATTGGCCTTTTTACATTCTCCAGTTTAAGTTCTGGAACATGTTGAGTCCAATAATGCAGTAAGTGCATCATGGGGGAAGGAATGAACCTCAAAACAACTCCTGGTCTTTAAAAAAATAAAACATTAATAGATGCTTTATTCATCCCACAGTAGGGATGAGCAGTGCACAGCACAAGATGAGTGAACCATAACTCTATACTAAAATAAAATCTCTAACTTTTGCATAATTAAGAAGCAAGTATGATGATGGAAATGTTTATATCTCATATAATACGTTTCATTCAGAAATCGTGAAATGCCCGTTGCTCGTGCTGATTGGACGGCCTTTTAGATGAGGACTGGTGTGGGGCAGGACGTCACCATGGGGGAGGAGGGGGGAATGATGGATCACACAGGGGGAGACGGGCCGCTCTGCGAGGCCTCGGGCTGCAGTGAATCAGCCCCATGTGAACAAAGAGCATACAGACGACATCATTTATCTGCCTCCTGTGTGTAGTGTGTCAGACAGGAAACCACACGCCCCACACTTCTAAGGCTCTCTGTCTCCCTATCGTTCCCAAACTCTGCTCATAGCCATTTGATCAAATCTCTTATTGTACGTCTGCTGGTGGGATATCAGTTAGGGTCGGACTTTTTTAAATTCTGAACTTCTATGGCCTGAGTACTGGATCTAAAGTGCGTCCCCCATGTGAGCCTACCCAAGTTTTCTTATTTTCTCCCACTGGGATTTTAGTTGTTTCTTGCTGAAGCAAGAGGGTCTAAGAACAGTGGTGATGATCCAGGACACTCCTAATTCAATTTTTTTGTGTTTAAATGGTTTGATTCTCTGATCTGTGTTGGCGAGTTGACAGCTTTGTTTAGTCCTCCGAGATTACTACTGTTGTGATTTAGAGTGGTACAAAAATAAATTGAATTGAATTGAACTTGGCTTTTATAGATGGCATGAAATACAGTGAGGCTAAAGAACAAATATAATGCATTGCGTTCCTTTTGGCAAGTCAATTTTATTTTTGTACTGCCCAAAATCCCAACAGCGGCTGTCTCTCTTCACTGTTAAGGTGGTGATGGGGTGGAGGAAGGTTGTGGCACGAGCTGAAGACATCAATTTCAGCTTGTTTAAATGATGGCTTTAAATGCCTGTGACCTGGTGATCTTTGCTCTTAAATCACATCCAGTCTGTACAGAGCTACTACTATTCTTTGTTGAGTACGGACATGCTTCAGGAATTTAAGCAAAGTTAAATATTGAAGAGTCCAAAGAGCGCTATGTAAGTTTGATGCATTATTATTGATTATTGATTATTATTATATTTCTGCCTCTAGATATCTGTTATCGCCCTCGTTGACTTATTGGTATTAGCCCTGAAAATACCATTTAGGTCGACCCCGAACGCAAACTTTGCGAACATAGGAATTGTTTGGATGACGAGGTTCGATTGAAGGCACACAGAGGGATTTTGTTTTAGATAAACAAAAGTGTTGGTCCAATGTATTATGGACCTCCCATATGACATTGATTTGTCACAGTGCATTCAGTTTGAAATGGGAGTATTGAGACATGAAACACGTTTTTGTGTGAATCTGGCAGAAGTTCCTGATTATAGTTTGGAAGGAGCTAAAAACAACTTTGAACAACTTTAGAGGAAACACAGTCATGGTTTAAAAGTTACTTTTCATGATGGGACAGTTGCCAGTATACCATATATGGACTTCCTCTCAGTCTAATAAATGCAGTAAAGCTGGGGCACCTCACTTTTTAGTACTGTATTGTAAATAATAGATTTTGGTAATCTCCCCTTGAAAGAATGTGCGGCCTACATCATCTCTGGTGTGAATGTCTTTTATTTTCAGGGTCAAATCATTTGAGATAAAATCAATATTGGTTTAATAAAATGGTTGAAATATACTGTAGCTCTAAGCAGGAGGACATAGACAAAACAGGGCATTAGCTGGGCTCATGGATTGTTTTTCCTCTTCCAGACACAGACCCTCGGGTGTTGGAGAAGCAGGAGCAGCAGCAGCCCACCTATCTGGCCCTGAGCTACATCAACAGGTACATTTCCTGGTTCTTCTGCAGAGCCTGTTCCCTCAGCTTTAGCTAAACTCATCACACAAGAACAACAAGAAATTCCCCTGAGGTCTGTATACCAGGCGGTGGAAGCTGATCATTTCTGATTGAGCTGATGGAGAAAAATCCAACTGTTGAAGTGATGATGGGGAGTAGGGTTTAATATTTTTCCCGAAAATGAGACTTATCAAATCCCGGGAAAAGACGACGCCTCTAGCTGACGACGCGGAAATAGCTGTTGTTTGTAGTTGTTGTTTTTAGCCCAAGTAATGTATGATATCACTCAAATATATAATCCAACAAAAGCTGCCATCTCCACTAGTGTTTCACCAAGCGACTTAATAGCTTTTCTAAAGTAGCCATAGCGTTTTCAGACGTTTTGTTGATGGGCTTTCTTCAGGAATTTCACTATTATGAGATTCTAAATGTCTGCGCAATCCACTTGTCGACCAGTGACGTGCGGTGTGGTTTGGAGGCACTGACTTCAGCCCAATCAGATGAACATATATCATATAAATCAACAGAACCTACAGAGCGGCTTATTCACAATTAGTTTGGCTACAGCAGAATGTTTTCCATGGCCCGCATTGTTTGCTCAAACAAAACGCAAAAGTTCGTAAAAGGCACATTTCCAATTGTGTTATGGGTCTTACCTTAGTTATTAATGAACAGCACAGACCACTTCGGCTCAGACCAGTTTCATGTTTAAGTCCAGATAATAGTTTGAGCGCAGATATGTAATCCCCCATTTGGAAATAAACCCAAAGAGTTTTAAAGCGTAAAACAAAACGGGTGCCACCTCCATAAACTCCTGTGTTTTCGCTGCAGCCGGCTCACGGGCGCATCCAATTTCTAATATCAACCTTCTTACCCTTCTCCTCTCTTCCTTATCATTCCTATCGTCATTGTAAGCAGAACATTACCCTAAATGCATTTTATATGATTTTAAAATGTGTTATATGTATGTTAGCCAAACCTGTTGCTGCCCTTAGCAGATGGAAAAAAAGAAAGGAGCTTTGATAGAATTGGACGTAACCAAATTCTGGGCTCACATGCGCCCCGTACCCTGAGTCTGGCCTCATTACAAGTCGTGGTTTAGCGCGATTAAGACCCATATTTGTTGCCAAAAACACAATTTATGAGCCATCCCCTCAGCTGTAGACATGTTGATTGTAAATGAAATATGTTTGAACTTTGAACAACAATAAACGTGCTTTATAATAGGAGCGCACTGTATTTTTTTTTTTTACTTTCATTTCCCGTTTCCCGTCATAACATTTCCCGGGAATCGGGAAATAGTTTTCATCAGATTTCCCGGGAATCCCGTATCCCGGGATTAAACCCTAATGGGGAGGAGGACGATTGTGGCATGAGCTGAATTAGTTCCAGCAGGTTTGAAAGAGAACTATCCTTATTTCCACCACAACAATGTGTTTTTATGCTATAGATAATTTATAAATCAGTAAAATAAGTTTTCAATAGGAACAATAGTTGTAGAGGTCGAAGCTCTCGATTTAGTGTTTACAACTGTGCTTCTGCTGCGACACAAATAAGACTGTAGAGAAAAAATGGGTGTATTTTTCATGCCCCCGGGATGCAGCAATGAAAGAAAAGTGTAAACAGCAGTCCCTACGATCGTTGACTTACACAGAGAAAGCGACGGTCCAAACTGAGAGAAAACATCAGCGTGAGCTCCATGATGCCACCCGAAATGAGTTCTTTCAAGCTCCAACTAAAACCAGTTTTACAAATTTCAACCCAGTATTCAGCAGAAAACACGACGACTGTCATTGAACATGAATCCATTATCCACTCTCTAACTACGTTTAGTAAAAGATATAGATATGACACATACCATCATGTTTTAGACTGTAGAACCACAGACACACGTTCAAAATAAGACCATATATGTTTGCATTTGATTGAAGACAGTCAGACACTCACCATTTCTCTCAAAAGCCCTATTCGGACCGGATTAGCATTACATGGGGACCCCGGGTAATTTATGATAATCACGGAGGATGTCTCAGATCTTAGTCCCGTGCGAATGCGCCATGTCTGTAATTTGTAAAGTAATAATTCCGCCGCAAATTACCTCCTGTATTTGTCCAAACACAGACGTCCTGTGATAATACTAATCCCGTGTGAATCTGCATGTCAGTGATTGTGATCGCTATTGCCACTTTCGCTTAACTTTTTGTCAACTTTTTGTCGCCTCATATCGCGGCTGTGTACACAGCTGCGTAGTCGCAGCTGCTGCTGTCTCTGTGAGGTCTATGGAGAAGTGTAGAGGACAGTGTAATGTGTTCACTGACACAACATGATCAGACCGATGGGTTGTGTTAGTACGTTTACTCTGCACTCTGTCCTAATACAGTCGTGTCGTATATCAGACGTGTTGCTGCAGCCGTTACTATTTGTCGGCTCGAGCGTATGAGTATTTGGGGCGTTCATGGGTAAGTATTGTTTAAACATTACAGAAAGTACAGGCCAGAGAACTGTAGAGCAGTAAAATCCACATGTATGTATCTGTCCTCATGATCTCTGTGGCTGCTGTGGTCAGACGCCAGACTTTATGAACTGCGTGAAGCGGAGAGACCCGCGCATGTGCGGCCGTTATGTCAGATGTCAGTGAAAATTACAGACATTGCCTATCCCGTGTGAATGCACTGCAAGATCTCGGACGTCCTCCGCGATTATCACAAATTACCAGGGGTCCACAGGAAACGCCCGCGACGTGTGGAGAGGCCTAAAGAACATCTCCGGCTTTGGACAGAGTGCCAGAGGAACAGCAGATGGAGACCAGCACCGGGCGGATGAATTTAACCAGTAATTCAACCGGTTTGATTCTCCCCCATCTCCATCTACCCCCCCTCCCGCCCCCACCTCTTCACACCTCCCCACACCTCCCCAGCCCAGTGGCACCGCCCAGTGGGCACCGCCCAGTGGACACTGCCTCCGGCTGCCCCGGGCCCTCCTGCCCCCGCATCCCCAGCCCCCACCTCGGACAGTACACCACGGTCCCCCCCCTCTCCATCACACCGGACCAGGTGAGGAGTCAGCTCCAGCGCCTGAAGCTGAGGAAATCCGCAGGACCGGACGGGATCAGTCCCAGGCTGCTGAGGACCTGTGCAGACCAGCTCTCTGGGGTCCTCAGCTACATGTACAACCTGAGCCTCAGCCTGGAGAAGGTCCCTGTCCTGTGGAAGACCTCCTGTGTGATCCCGGTTCCAAAAACAGCACACGCCAAGGAACCGGCTCACTACAGACCAGTCGCACTGACCTCCCACCTGATGAAGACCATGGAGCGGCTCATCCTCACCCATCTCCGCTCCGTGGTCAGCCCCACCCTGGACCCGCTGCAGTTCGCCTACAGACCCAACATCGGAGTAGAGAACGCCGTCATCTACTTCCTGCAGCGGACGCTCTCCCACCTGGAGCCCGCCGGGAGCGCTGTGAGGGTCATGTTTTTCGACTTCTCCAGCGCTTTCAATACCATCAGGCCGGCACTGCTGCGGGGTAAGATGGAGGACGCGGGAGTGGACAGTAGCCTCACTGCATGGACCATCAACTACCTCTCAGACCAACCACAGTACGTGCGGCTGCGCAGCTGTGAGTCTGAGGTGGTAGCCTGCAGTACTGGGGCCTGTACTGCTGAACATCCAGGGGGAGGACATTGAGCTGGTGGACAGCTTCAAGTACCTGGGTGTTCACATTAACAATAAACTGGACTGGTCCCATAATAAAAACGCCCTGCACAAGAAGGGCCAAAGTCACCTCTTCCTTCTGAGGAGGCTGATGTCCTTCGGAGTGAGCAGGCCTCTGCTCAGGACTTTTTATGACTCTGTGGTAGCCTCAGCCATTTACTACGCTGCCGTGTGCTGGGCCCCGGGCAGCACAGAGCGGGACAGAAACAGACTGAACAAGCTGGTCAGGAGGGCCAGCTCCACTCTGGGCTGCCCCCTGGACTCTGTGGAGGAGGTGAGGGACAGGAGGGTGCTAGCCAAAGTCACCTCCATCATGGACAATACCTCCCACTGCACAGGACTGTAGAGGAGCTGAGGAGCTCCTTCAGTGGAAGACTGAGGCACCCTCAGGAAGAAGCGCTACCGCAGGGCCTTTATCCCTACTGCTGTCAGACTGTACAATAAGTCACTTTAAATGATCACTGTGTGAAAACCTGCACTACTATTGACACTGTTTCCAATTGACACTTGTCACTTTTGTTGTACATAATTGTTGTCACTTTTATTGTACATATATCCTGCATGTAACATGTGTGCACATTTCCTCCTTTTGCACAATCTGAGTGTTCTATCCATGCCAAACGTGACATGTAAATTTCTCCTATGTGAGATAAATAAAGCACATCTTATCTTATCTAATACTAATCCCGTCCGAATAGGGCTAAACTCAACATCTTGAGCTGGGACATAAAGTTGAGGGTTCTCTCTCGGTGTTGCGGGTATCGACGTGTTGGCTGGTGTTAGCATATTAGCTGATGTCTGTAAAAAATAATCCATGTTGTCAAACCACCTCCAGACTTTTTGGTTCTGTCCAATTTTACGGTTGGGATCTTTCATTTCACGATGGTCACTTTTACGCTTAACTTTTCTCTGCTCTGTAAAGTCCGTGATATCCATTCCTTTGTCCTTAGCGCTACCTTCGCTAGCACTTATTTACACTCACTCGGGTGGCACCATCGAGCTCAAACTGACCGGTTGGCCCATAGATCCTTGAGTTCAGACCGTGAAAACGGCCCTAATGCTTGCAAATGTTTTGAGTCCTCAAAATCAGAATTTCTGTCATAACAAGTACGCAAGGGCTCATAAATAAAAGCCCCTGACTTGTATTGTCCATCACTGAATAACAAATATCGGTTTAAAACGTCCGTGTACAACGTTATGGCTTACAAAGGCATATCAACAAAGCCCAAAGACCCCTATGTGTACGTCACTAACGGTCTAGGCAATTTTTCCGTGAATTTCTTTTTGCTTGCTGATTGATTGATTGTTTCACCCTTAGCGGTTTCTATCTGTCAAAATGAGTTGTATTTAACACAAAAAAAGACCACAATATGCCAACAAAATTAGAATAGGTCCCTTTTAAATGCAGACTTGATTGCCCTGAAGTGTAAGCAAAAGCTCCAGAGTGGGCACACTATCACCTCCAGGGGTCAGTGTGAGCTCAGCATAGAGCCCCTTCCAGATGACGTGAATGATTGGTCTGTACGGAGCGCCAAAGTCCGCTGACGCCTTCCCACGGCGTGACTCACCCGCTCTGCACAGCACACAATCAGGGCCTTCACGGGACTGCAGCCTGTGTGTGTGTGTTTCTGTGTGTATGTGTGTTTCTGTGTGTGTGTGTGGCCAGCGCACAGCTCAGGGAGTGTTCTGCGGTCCGCCAGTACAGCCGTAAATGTCATCTGTGTTTACCGTAATGCATTGTGATGTCGCAGCCTCTGGATGAAATGATGAGTGTAGTTTCAGAGGAAAACAAACACTGATACATGCATCGGTGTTACTGTTAACGAAGTAATAAGAGACATTTTTAGATTTGCCCCACGATTTTGATCTTGATAAATATTCATTTTGGCAACTTCTGCCTAAACCCCAGCAGCAGGAACACTGACAAAGGTTGGACTGTAATGACTTTTTTTAAACTGCAAACAAAAAGAGAGCATTTATTTGTCCCACGGCTGGTCCAGAGACTGATCCAGATTCAGTTTATTTGCCATTTGAAGTAAAACCACTTTGGAATACATGTACAAGAGTCCCCATTGGAGCCCCCACTGAAAGATCAAGGCTATGCTCACACTCAGAGAGCAGCCGTCCTCCTGTGGACTCACCACCTGCAGAGGGTCAGTGAGGGGCTGGTGCTATGAGACTTGGGTGGCATCTCTGACTGCCACCCCCCTGACCCAGAAATGGATTAAAGGGTAGAAAATGGATGGATGGATGGAGTCCCCATTGTACACCAGACAAGTACAAGAATAAAACTAAATCTAAAAAGTACAAGAGTCCGTCTGTACAAGAGGCTGATGCCACTGGTCATGGTCTTCTCTTCCTCTGTGTTGATGATGCCAGAGACATCTGAGAACTTCTGCACGATACAAAATACTTAAAATGTTTAAGAAGACGACCTAACAACATAACAGGTGTCTGAACAGATAGATTAAAGCCATGTTTGCACAAAGCTAAAAAGCTGATCACCACTTTGCCCCATAACGTCATGCTGCTAACATGTACAGCTTATTGAATACTTTTTATCAAATATTCTGTACTTCATTAGACTGAACTTGGAGATGTTATACTTGCTTCTTTATTAAAGGTCCCATAGTTCGCTCTTCATTTTCACAGGCCATTCTAGGCACGTGTGATAATAATTTGAGTGATACACCATATAACACCTAAAACTTGTGTAAAGGGTTGGACGTAAATACACGCTGACTTGTTTAACTCCAAACTAACTGTTTAGCTTGTAGTAGCATTCAGTACCATTGTACTTAAACATAGAGGCTCCTCGTTTGCATAGTGGGTATAAAACCAGGTTTTAAGATCAGTTTTGAGTAAGCCCAGCTTCAATTATATAGAACAGTCTTTTGTGATGGGTTGCTCGTAGAAAAATTGATACAGTGCAGACTTCAGAAGCAGATCCCTGTGAAAAAAAATTCCAGCCACATTCACCTAATTTTTTGTCTTTGGGCCAAATAGTGTTGTCACATATTTACATCCAAAAACACAAAACGGTAGAGTCTATGGTCGGTAGACGCGAGACCACAGAGGCTATGGACCATACGCTGGACCTGGAGGATCTCTAATGTGTTTGTCATTCTAATCCTGGAATAGTATGAATTCAAAGTTTGATGTGGATTGGTCTCTGGCGGAAGGTTCATGACGGACGCGGCGCGCAGGGAGCAGGAGACCATGAAGAAGAAGGTGGCGCCCAAGCTGTCCCTGTCCATCAGTGGGGGCGTGTCCCGGAACAGCACGGCCACACCCCCTCGCCACACCAGCGGAAACCTGACCCCGCCCGTGACCCCGCCCATCACGCCGTCCAGCTCGTTCCGCAGCAGCACGCCCACAGGTACGACAGGTGTGTGTGTGCTCGTGCACTTTGACATGTTTCATACTGTTCTGTGAAAGAGACACTTCACACTGGACCTGGTCTTAAATCTGGTTTAACTTTGTAACGTTGGATCATAGGTACGAAATATCTCACTACATAATATGACACCAGTCGGAGAAATGCAGGTGTCCAGCAGCGAAAACACATCCAAACAAACAAACAAAACAAATAAATACATAAATCTAGAATATACTTACAATAGTATACAGTGTGCTACAGTACTTTAGAGTCTGCTTGGTTCAGACCATTTTCACTGCTCTGGTTCAGAGTAAAATTCTGAAGTCTTTATAGCATTTTTCAAAACATTTGCATTCCTCTTGTAAATTTCTGCTTGATCTGCTTGGTTGAGACGTGCATCCTCTCTGCTCTGGTCTGGATCAGTGTTGAACCATGAACAGGGGTGCACATAAGTGGGACGCAGGTACGCATACGCGACAAATATCAGAAATGCGTACTATCACTTAGTCACCATCACTTGAGTTAGTAAGCGCCTTTGCGTACTTCATGTAACCCGGGTCATTTTTATCGTCTCCGCAACACTCCCTTGAAGTGTGGACACTGGTCACTGGGCTCTGACCGGACACAGCACCAGTCATAATGACTGTCCCTGATCCATGTGCTCGCCTGCTCCAGTCCTCACAACATGTGCCAGGGTGCCATCCACATCCTGTGCTGTGCTGCTTCCTGTGCGGTGGGGGCTGGGCGTCCACATACACCCACTTAATGATCCCCTTCTCCCCTAAACACAGGCCTGAACCAGATCACACGCCCTGGGACTGTGGGGCTGGACTGTAGTGGTGGGAATGGAGAAAAATGTGAGGATTTGATAGTATTGCAACATTTGGGCAATTCAGTATAATTGTGATTCTTAACATGTTGCGATACAGCAAGTATTGTGATTCTTTTCTGCAATTCATGTTCCTCATATTATTCAAAGGCATCAAAAAGATGGAGGAAAATAAGACTCAAATGTCACATTTATTATGGCCTGTACATTAAATGAAGCAATCACTTGGGAGGATAGTGCAAAAACGTTATCACAGGACCTTGTTACAAGCCTGATTAGACGACTCTCACATGAGAAAGAACGAATGTAAAACACAACAACTGTTAGAGATACTTAGGAGTTGCTGCCGTTTCCAGTGCGTTCAAAAGTAAAGGAGGGAGGAGGCATTGACTTGTGCTGTCTAAAGTTTGTTCATGGCCCTTCATGCACTCCCCTCTCTCCCCCACAGGCAGCGAATACGACGAGGAGGAGGCGGACTTCGAGGAGTCTGACAGCGATGAGTCCTGGACCACGGAGAGCGCCATCAGCTCCGAGTCCATCCTGAGCTCCATGTGCATGAACGGGGGAGACGAGAAGCCCTTCGCCTGCCCTGTCCCAGGCTGCAAGAAGAGATACAAGGTCAGCACTCCTCACCCTGACTCCTCACCCCCTATCTCTGACTCCTCACCCCCTCACCCTGACTCCTCACCCTCTCAAATAAAAGAAAAGGTAAAAACAAAAAAATAAATAAAACGGATAAAACCTGGAGCTTTCAAGTAGCTCCAACTGGGACAGAACGCGTTTCTCACTTCCACCACTAGAGGGGAGCAGACACCATTAACCTCTGGTGCCTCTGGTGTTTTTTCAGAATGTAAACGGGATCAAGTACCACGCCAAGAACGGCCACCGCACCCAGATCCGCGTGCGCAAGCCCTTCAAGTGCCGCTGCGGCAAGAGCTACAAGACGTCCCAGGGCCTGCGCCACCACACCATCAACTTCCACCCGCCCGTGTCCACCGAGATCCTGCGCAAGATCCAGGCCTAGCCCTCACCCCCCTTCCCCCATCCCCCCACGCCCACTCACACTAACCACAAGTGCATGCTTTAAGTTACGCATTACCTTACGTTTTATTTTTGTATTTTTGTATCCGTTACTCAGTATATCGTATTATGTTTCGTTCTGTTACAAAGATGTTTTATGCTAGTGTTTTTGCTGCAGAAAAGTGACGCCGAGTACAAGTATAACGACGTTCTGGAGGCGAGGGATTTGACCGACGGGACATATTAGACCGACACCAGAATTGGAAAAAATATACTTTCAAGCTTCTAACCTGGTGACAACATTGCTCCTCAAATAACAGACCTGGCGTCGTTTTTAGCGCCGTCCAGGCTAATATAGGGAGTTTCTGGCATTAACACTTCTGTCTAAATAAGGGGTGTCAAACTCATTTCAGGGGGCTCGATCTATATTCACAATTTTACTATTTATTTATTTGAAATTATACTGAAGTTATATATATGTACATATTCCGGTCTGGTAGATTTTCACTTCTGTGTTCAATTCTGTTTTTGTCCAGTTTGGATTAAACCAAAACTGAACCAGTGTGAAGAAAGTCCTTCTTCATTTAGTTAATAATTGCGTAGTTGAAAAATGAAATGTGGTTGTTTTATGGATAAAGATATATTTAAAATGATTATATGTACAACATGCCATGGAAGCATACACCGTCAATGCTGGCAAGTTAACCACTATCATGCGTAAGTTTGACACCCTTCTGTCCAAAGGCTCCGTTTTCAAACTCAATCACTCAATGGCCTGTTAGCCGAAAGTCATTCCCACTTCTACCACCAGGAGGGGCTGTTTCTCTGATCTTTGTCACTTATAGTATTATGTAGACGTTCCGGTCACACTTTAGATTAGTCCTCACTAATTAACAGCTATTTTAGTGTTAAATAGTGTACCCTAATCCTAACCCACATGGGAAAGTGTCAGTTAGTAGTTAGAGACGTTGAATAAGTAATGTAGAGTTAGGACTAAGTGCTGATTATGCAAATGTAACACTCCCAGAATTCTGAACTATCATTTTGACTGCTCCCGTTCAAACTAATCTTATTCTGAGAAATTCCACCCAAAAATGTTCACTGGATTGATCAAAAGTCAGTCATTTACAAGGCATTTACCTTCACTCACTTTTAAATAAGTGCTAAAACTGGTGAATACAACAAATGCTAACTGCTGACAGTAAACGGGGTTGTTGCTATGGTAACCGGTACTGGCACCTCTCTCGGAGTTGATGGTAGAACTCCTCACATGTCATAAATAAAAGATTATTTAATCAAAATAATGACACAGAAATAAACTACATATAGAAACTGAAAAAGTCTCAAAGTTATGCAAATTAGATGAGTAATCACGCTTCCAAAACGATAAGCCGCCAAATTGACTGCTCTGAGAGTTTGAATTTTAACCATTAATTATACACTTGTCGGCACTTAAGCAGCTGTTAATTAGTGAGGGATAATCTAAAGTGTGACAGATATTTCTACGTCAGTCCAAACACGCTCAGATCTTCCAGACGTCTTACTTGTATCCGCTCACTTCCTCCGCAGCGTTTCTTGTACATTTGCACACGAGTATATATGCTATCACTTTTATTATTATTATTATTATTATTATTATTGTTGTTATTATTGTATTACGACGTTTATTTTTCCTCCTGTTTTTGACTGACATAAGGTGCTAATCGTAAAAAACAAAACAACAGAAAGAAAAAGACAAAAAACAAATGAAAGCAAAAGGCGAGGAAGACGAGGTCGAGGAAGAGGGGCCCCTTATGAGAGTGGCCCCGGGGTCGATCCGAGAGCAGCCGTGGGCGCACACACAAATATGAACACACACACAGACATTGTTAAACTTACAACCCCTGTTCCCTTAAAAAACGAACTACTTTTAACCAATATATGGAGTATTTTTTAGGCAAACTCAAAAATAACCAGGCCGTTGACATGAAGAGAAGAGAGTTCCCTAGAGCAGCTGTTTTTATACTTTTAATATTTTTCTTTTATACGAATTAAAGCTGGGGTACCCAACTTTGAAACGACAATGGTGTTACACGTACAGTATAAAGGGATAGCTCTGCGTTGGTCGTGCTGCTAGTCACATAAACACTAGGACCTGGGTGTAGCCGAGCCATGGCAGTAGAAGCTGTCGGGAGTTGTGACTTTGATTTAGGGCAGTCATTTAGTTTAGTTTACAGCTAATTACGCAGATGCTAAATGTCATCCTTCTAGTTTACAACCGAGAAGTGAAATTATAAGTATAAATACAGTACAGACTAAAAGTTTGGACATACCTTCTCATTCAAAGAGTTTTTTTTATTTTCACGATTATAAAAATTGTGGATAAACACTGAAGGCATCAAAACTATGAATTAACTCATGTGGAATTATGTACGTACTGAAAAAAAAAAGTATGACCAAACTTAAAACATGTCTTATATTCTCGGTTCTTCAAAGTAGCACCTTTTCCTCTGATTACTGCTTCAGGTCACTACACAAGAGGTAGTGACATGAAATGGTCTTCCAACAGTCTTGAAGAGATGCTTCGCACTTGTTGGACCTTTTGCCTTCACTCTGTGGTCCAGCTCACCCCAAAACTGTCTCGATGGGGTTCAGGTCCAGTGACTGTGGAGGCCGGGTCATCTGTCCCAGCACCAACACTCTCCTTATTGGTCAAACAGCCCTTACACATCCTGGGTGTGAATCTACAGTCAATAGTCATGAAACGAAAGGAAACTCATTGAATGAAAAAGTGTGTCCAAACTTTTGATCTGAACTGGATTTGGCCAAACTAGAAGAAAAATGAGAAACACCTGCAAAATTCAATTATATCTTTTTATATAGCCCTAAATCACAACAGTAGTTATCTTGGAGGACTTTGGAAAGCTGAGAATCAAAAGTTCAAACACAGGAAAAACAAGGGCCAGGATGCAACCGGAGGCGGGAGTTTGGACGTGTGCCTTGTCAGCACCGGGGAAAAAGCAGCAAAACACAATTTTATACTGTTTAGACTGCTTTCATTCCATTCAACTTTTCCAACAATAAACAATGCCTTCAAAATCCACATCTCTTCACTAAGTCCACTTACAAATCCCCCCGTCAGCTGCTCTCAGATCCGCGCCTCTGCCACTCTAAGGAGAAAAAAACTATAAACTTAAGCTTATTCTAGAATTATGAGATACAAACCTAGACAGATGTATATAGAGAAATCTAAAAGTATTCTTTGCGCATATGCAGAAATAGTCCCACTTTATTTCGCCAGCTTTATTTGATGTAACTCTCTCAGTGTTAGTCGGTGTTTTTAAAGTGTTCCTTTTTTTTGTTCTTCTCTCGAATCGCTGGTATCATTTCTCCGAACGCATTTCATATCTCCCGCTCTCAAAGGGGCTCATTCCGCAGTGCCAGAGCTGTGTCCGCGATCCTCCATGCTGCTGTCACTTTCCCAGTTGTTGCCAAAATCGTAGAGAGAGAGCGCGAGAGAGAGAGAGAGAGAGGACGATTCATTTGAACCCCAAGACAGTTGCCAATAACAGCTCTCCACTGCCAAACATCCACCATTACGCCATGTGCCTAATGTGAGAGAGAGGGGGGGGGGGAGGGTCAGGGGTGGGGGTAGGGGTTGGGTGGAAGAAAGGGGAGCGTCTAATTATAATGGATGTAGCTCAAACACAGGAATGTTTTTCATGCATTTACAAACGACCTCCGCTGCCGTTTCTATGAGGCTGGAAACCACAACCAGGAGCAGAGACTGGATACAGGAAGTAACAGTTAAAAGTCAGGAAGCAGCGCAGGAATCGGATGGGAATTGGGATGCGGCCGTTCTGTTAGGCGGCTGCGATTCTGCTTTATCCAATCATCTCTGTCCTTGGAGACATTTCCCCATGGCTTAAGAATGCGTTATATACAAACGTGTCCATAATACAGGTTTTTATCTTAACAAAATCCACTGAAAATCAAATGCAGACACCAAAATCCATGGTTTTCAAGCTGCGGTTTCGATTATCAAGCCCGAAGCTGTGTCAAAAAAAAATGACTTGGGGATGAGAAGTACAATCTCTGGCATTAGACTGGGTTAAAAATGGCCGCCGCAACAACTGAAAATGACCTAAATTAGCAAAAATAGAAACAAGAGAAGAGAAGGCTCTGCGTTTAGCAATGGTCTGTAGAAGTGGAGAGGCGGGTGATTGGAGCAGACTCAGACTCCATGAGGATTACAGAAACCAAAGAGAAACGAAAAGGCTCCACGCTGGTCTATCCGTACTATCGGCTAGTGGAAGCTGAATTCAAGGCCCCTCCAAACGCCCACCGCAGCGAGAGGGTCCTTCTATAATCTATGATCCATTTCCATCCCCCTAAGAACACCGCGACAAAGAGAGATTATAGATTAGATTAGTATTTCCTGTTCCCAGCTAAAGTGCGGTTTTCAGCCTCAGGACCAGCAGCTCGAGGAACCCATGTATCACACCAGGGGACGTGCATGTGTGTGTGTATGTGTGTGTACGTGTGCGTGTGTGTGTGTGTGTGTGTCCTCTGAGGTCCAGCACAAATCCGCTCACACCAGCCGCTCGCTCCGCTCCGGGCCTAAAACACGCAGTTTCGTGTCGAGGGTCATTTTGGAGCCACCGCTGCGGAACTCGCAAAAAGAAGTATTCTCGTTCGTTCCGCTCCGTTTCTGAATGAGATTGTAAATGGCCAATGCAGAGAATTACGGACTTTTTTTTTTAAACCATTGCCAAAGTTTGTAATCGTGTGAAGTTCCGTGTGAAGTACCGACGTTTGCCTCATTCTTGTGCCGGCCAGAAAGGCGGAGACTCGTACAGTATTATGTTGTGTTTTCTATTGACTGAAGTCGTTTCGAGAGAGATTTTATACAAACTTGAGAACATCCAAGGCTGCAAATCTCAGACGATCCCCTTTTTTTTTCTTTTTTTTTCAATCTATTACAAACATTTGGGCTCAAAGCTGCTCCTACATAAGGAGTTTGTT